TCTCTCTCTCTCTCTCTCTCTCTTTCGCTCGCTCGCTCGCTCACTAAGAATCTTCGATTTCGAATGCACGTGGTGGTGGGGGTATTTTTGTTCATATTTTTGGTGGTCTTTTTTTCTTCAGAGAATTGTATTAAGTGGGTTGACTAAGTTAAGATGATGTTCTTGACAGGTGCATAAAAATTGAATCTTCACAAGAGTCTTGGTGGGAGTCTAGAGAGACAGCATAGAAAAAAGGCCTTTCGGATCATCTTCAGGGTTCTTTTATTTGGGGGGGGGGAGGTGGTGAGGGGATTATTATATTGATATGGGAATGTTATTAGTTCTTTTTTTCCTTTTCCTTTTCTTTTGATTTTGCCTTGCAATCTGTCTCTCTCGTTCTCTGTCTTTCTCTATCTTGCTATTTTAATCTGCTATTTCACTCTTCCTCGTCCCCCCTCCCCACGTCTCTTTATGGTTTTCTCTGCCGCCCCCCGCCCCCTCTCTCTTTTTCTCTCTCTCCCTCCCTCCCTCCCCTCTCTCTCTCTCCGTCTCTTTCTCTCCCTCCTTCTCTCTCTCTCCCTCCCTCTCTCTCTCTGTCTTCTCAGTCAGTCTCTCTATCTCTCTGTTCCTCATCCTTCACCATTCTCCTCCACCCGTCCTTTCTATCTCTTTACCTGTTTCCCTCTCTCCGCCTCCTCTGAACCTTTCTTCTTCTGCCCACTGTGTTTAGAATAAATGTATCTTCAGAAAACCATTCTCACTTAAAAACACATGTCTGTGGAGATTTTATCGAAAAGTAAAAAGATTAATAAGAAGAACTCCACCGAAAACAAACAACAACTATTACTAAAACAACACCAACAGTAACACAAAACACCACGCACACCATCATCACCAACAACAAAAACTTTCCTTTTCTCTATACCCAAATGTTTAATGCTAGTTTTTATCACGCCCAATCACTGCACTGTGGACAATTTAGGAGGCGGGCTTTCGATCCAACCTGTAAGGGCCAACCAGGGCTGAGAGGGATACAACATCGCAGTAAAAAGAGAAAGATACATAATAAAAATCGTTTCCCCACTGGGTAATTAAACCAGGATCGTGGGTGGTTTCCTGCTGCTCTGGTGTGGTTCGCTTCTTGTTTCCTGTCAAACATCTATCGTCCTTATCTCCCCTACTTCTTTTTTGTCACCTCTAATGTTCGGCACTTATAAGACCGTATTGTGTTGCAAGGGCCGTAACACTCGTACTAAAACTTTAAAAAACCAGGATCTCAACTTGCGACATCGAAGCGCTTAACGCTTTAAACCGCAAACCCCGTTTTTTGTAGGCTTTTTTGCTTGCTTCCTTGTTTGTTTGTTTATTTGTGTGTTTGATTGCTTATTTATGTTGTTCTTCTTTTTTAAACTTATATTCTGCAGACTCTAAACGACAGAGAAGAGATGGTGAACTGCTACCTGATGTCTCTGAAGCAGTTTATGATCGCCACCAGCACTGCGGGCAAGACACTCTTCCCTCCGTCTCAGCATTTCTTCCACACCAAGGCAGACATTGACAACTCCACGTTGTTCCATATCATTCAAATGATGCCGAAAGGTAAACGGTGTAATAATTTAGAAATGCTTATTTTTTTGCTAAATTGTAATGTTTTCTTCATTCATGTTTCATACTCTTGAGAGTGTACGTAATGATACACTTAATAATGATACTATTATGTACTATAATTGTGTATATTATATATTTTATGTAGACAGACAGACAGACAGACAGACAGACAGACAGACAGACAGACA